AATTTTTGGTCCCATGCCCGGGTCATAGACCCGTCCTTCTAAAGATTAACTTCTGCATCGCAGACAGAACGAGGCAACCACTGTGCAGTCGAGCTCCTCCTTTGAACTCATTATGTTCTATTAAATATTTCTTAGAGATAAATAAATTAAAAAAATGCTTAGTTCTACTTGGCGAGATGCAAGACAATAATGGAACATGTTAATGTTAACTTAAGTAAAGTGAGAATCAGAAAAAATGTAATATCGGAGGAGAGGACTCGTGACTAGAAAACATCAGGCCCTATTTTAGGCTTAGTTTCTGGCTCCATATTCCTACATGACTGTTGGTTTACTTTGGCATTGTTAGGTGCCCTAACTTTTAAGATTTTTATTTATAGGAAAATATAGTAAATTACTATTATAAAGTTTGGATTTCTTTAAGTATTGTTTAAGAGAAATACTATTGACCACCCTGACTTCGTAGATTTGCAATTTGATAATTTCAGATATGACATAAAAAAATAATCTTTACACTGTCAAAGAGTCAATTAACAGAAATTGTGCACAAATAAATTTAATTGGTTAGTGGCTGCATAGGCAATGATTGTTTATTTTTTTCTATTCAAACGCGAACAAATTTTTATTATTCACTATTCACTAAAAAGTAGTTTTAAAGAAATACCATATGCAACAATAAACAATTATGTAAATGAATTTAATATCATTGAATTATGTATTCCAAATGAATCACACATATGCTATTTATTTGATACTTATTTTTTATAACGTATTATTTGCAAAAGAAACATTTATAAAAGGCTATTACGAGCGGATGAAACCCGATGTTTTGTCGTGGTCACTTATTTTTCGCACTGTATTATCAGCTCCTGATATTGTATCATAAAATAACTATAAGTTATCAATAGTAATCAATATTTATATCTGAAACACCGGCTAGAGATAATACTTCAGTCTAAATATTTAGTGAATCACTGGCAGTGCCTAAGCAATAACAGCTTTTTTAATAAAAACCTTTTTTCTGGATATAATTTTGATTAAAAAGCTTTTCTTTATCAAAATTTTATTGTGTTAAGTGAGTTAATAATTGCCGATTAATTGAAAAAACAGCAGATTATAATACTTTGTAAGTTTTTATAAGTTTTTTTAATAATCTAATTATAGGTAAATACAAAACATATTTCTAGTATTGAGGCTATTTCTAAAAGATTAGCCTCTGCGCACAGCTTTGTTCCATGTGAGTAAAAGTAGCTTAAGTTCAATAAAAATAATATAATTTTCATTATAGTAAAATATTTTTTCAAATACCAGTTATTATTCTGGAGATTTCCATCCACATACATACAAAATTCAGTAGCGTTTTAAAATTTAATAAATTCATTTGTGATAATATTATATTTTTATCAAAACATTAAGTACAGTTTTTTTAGAAATTTATATGGTGGTGATTTCTATTAATAAAACAATAGGGATGACAACTGGGTAAAAAAAATGCAATTCTATTTAGTCCGTCAGTCAGATAATAGAAAAATATTAGATACATATTTTTTTTTACTTCAATTTAACAAGAAATAGCTTAGATAACAGGCATTAAAGTTGGGGATTGGGGGCTCGCTACGTCAGTTGAATATAAAACGTACCATAACGTGACGTCATGCGAAATTTCAACTCCATGTAACGCCGTAATTTTATGATTACGAAAAAAAAATACGAGTTTAATATTTTTTAACACTCTACCTGACAGACAAACAAACAAAAATTAGTCATCATCCCTATTGTTTAAATCTTGCATACGTTTTTGTAAACACGAAGTTTTTAAAGAATAATACATACTTTAATTTATAACCAAGTAACCTTTCAATGTGGCGCCCTAGGAAAAACACTGGAGTTTCGCGCAAACACAAACTAATGTAGATACAACGATAAAAGAGCGTTAATTTTCCAATAACAAAAGAAACTCCTTATGTACTGCGGGTCTGAAAATACTAATTTTTATAAGGTACTACATTTTTAAGACTCATATAATTAGAGCAAACATAACTTGTTAACCATATTATGCCACCACTCAAATACGAGCACCCTAGGCTGTTGCTTAGTTTGCTATATGGACTGCCCGTGCCTGTTTATTTTATAGTATTACATCAATCCAACCGTTCACACAATTCCATATTCTTCAGTCTTAATTGATAACATTACATAATCTAACAAACAACAGGCTATCGATAACCTTACTAATCCACAGATAATGTTAATACAATAGCTATTTGTACGTCCAACTTTTTAAATATTAAGGATAGAACGGTTTCATAATTTGAATAGTTTATAATGGTAGAAAAGAAAAAGCTAAAATCATTTATATTTTCACGCACTCTATCCATTAAATAAAACAACTTTAAACGGTTTCATCGCATTGTTCTGTCTAAGGAAGGTATTGTACGGTGAGATGTGATACGAAGAACATTGGGTCAGCTAATTAGGTATACTTTTAGGCAAACTTGGTTAATTTAAAAAAAAACAGTACTGGAAAATATTCATAATGAAATCTTGTTACTTTTCGTTAGTTGTTTCCTTAGTTGTGTTCCAGAGTAACTGGAGCTGGTCGATTTTTAAGCATTTATCATTAAGAATATTTTGCAGTAAAGCAATTATATCATTATAATAAAAAAAAAATTGACAAAATATACTAAAAAAATCAATAATTCACTGTCTATTGATAAACGAGGTGTGAAAGAAATATCTTATTATATTCTTTGTTTTTATTGTCGAATAAATTTAAAAAAGTTACTTTTAATCAGCACGCTCACTTGTGAATGAAATCAAATAGAGAACAAGCTATAACTGTGTGGTATATAATCCACCCCACCAGACAGGACCAGTGCAAATTGGTTGTGGTAACGACCGCAGATGCAGCCTATACTAACGCGCCTTTCAATGCAGAGAGGAATTAAAGTTAATAAATTTTTAGTCACCCATCCTATAACAGACCCCTGTGAAAGTTGCTTAACTTCCTCAAAGCTCAAACGCGCTGAAGTGATTACACTGCGCTATTCAAAAATCTCATTTTTTATTACAGTATTTGAACTTATTATTTGGTTCATCAACAGCCCTTTACGTCCCCACTGTAAATGCTCAGGCCTTCCTTAAGTATGGTTAATGAGTATGAGTCATGACATGAACCTCCGCGCAGGCCCAATGTGGCTTGATACCTTAGAAGAGACCAACGACATAACATGCGTCTGAAGCACAGTGTAGCTCGAGATGATAATATTTTTTGTCACCCATCCTGTAACCGACCGTTTCGAAAGTTGCTTTACAACAACGATCGCAGGCCACCGCGTTAATCCACTACGCCATCGAGCTACTAATTTTTTATAACAAAATTACAACAATCAATTTTCACTACCTTTAAGGATTTGAAATAGTAGTCTACTTAATAATAATAAAAAGGGAATGAAAGGATTTTTCTTCGAAGAATTGTGTTGGATTTAAAAGAGTAGCGAAGGATTCTCAGAGTCCCGAGGGATAAGGAAGGAGTGACCCTAGGGACAAAGTTAGATTATGACAGAAATGTAAAATAGAATTTTGTATCGGTACGAGGAATTTATGGAAAGGATAAAGACGGCTTAAATTTTAAATTAAATGTGCTAAAAAGGGTTTCACGTTAAAAAAAATTCCTTTTCAGATTTTTTTTGTATTAAATTTTGTTTAATACATAGGTACTACTATAATGAAAACACAAATAAATATATTGCTGGTTGGTTCTATCTTTAAATTTTACAATTTATATGCCTTTTTCTTCTTATTTTAATCTTTATATATAACTATATGCTACTGCATCTCAGTAAAATGTCAACTAGTTGCACTTTGCCATTGTACTATCTACCTTAATATAATTCATATTAATATATATCTGGATGAGTAAGGAAGCATTATATATGAATACGGATTTCAATTTTATAACGCTCTCGTTTTATTGTTTACATTAATCAAAGATGTTGGTAATTCTAAAATTGACATTAATGTTTGAAAAAATTAAAAGATAATAAAAAACATAATTCATAAAAAATTAAATCAATAAAACTTTTTGATATATAGTTTTAAAAATAAAGTTAGAGTTACAATCTGAGTTAGGCGTCCACTCCCCTGGTCGAGAATAGGTATGCGGTTACAATGTTTGAGAAATTCGAGAAGTGTAATCATAAACATAAGTCACACCTACCTTTACCTGTAACTTAAAGTGTTATAATATACTTTATTTTCAGCGTCATCTAAATGCATTTACAAAATGTAATCATAAAACAGATACGTAAACGTCGATAGCTTGTTATCTGATAAGGTTCGTGTTAATGAATATCGGTCACAGTCGCTTATTGAAATTCATCCTTCAAAGCAAGTAAGTCGATTCAATTATTAAACTATTTTGTTTATGTTTAATAAAGGTTTTCTCATACCTCTCATTATAATGGGAGCAAATAAAAACATCTTATCAACATCAGCAACATGCTCATCCTGCGTAAAAGTTAAAAAGTTATCTGAAGTGGCTCGTCCTTATTTCTACTAATGGTAAAACTTATTTATGTATGGCGAGTGAATGACGCTTCAATAATATCTGTTATGGCTCAGTTCTCGATCATTTAAAAACAAATATATCTGTCACCATTGAGTTATAAAGGAGACATTACACTAATGTACCTTTTTTATGGGAACTGCTATTAATTAATAATTAAAGGTGTCATCTGGGAGCCTACTCCTTTTCTCCACGACCGAAATTTAGGTTGTTAAATTTAAATTGTTATCAATAATTGCGTTTCTTTGGAGCCGTATCAGAGTTTTGAAGTTTTGTTTCCGGAGAAAAAGAATACGCCCTCTGTTGTGAAATGAGTGATATTAAAAAATCCATCTACGGTATCGTTGGCTACTCAAATAAAACGAAGTACTGTATTGTTTAACTTCAAAGAAAACGATAAAAGTCAATATTTATTGATTTTAATTTTAGATCAACAATGACGGAACCGGAAACGAAACAACGATTTTTCTATAAAGAACCGGAGAATGTTGAATCGACAGTACCAGGCGAACAGAAGTTGCGGGAAAGTATTGAAACCAGCGAGCTAGCTATCGCAGGACCGATAAAAGGAGAACATGATAAGACTCATGATGCAGGGAACTACGTCCTAACGCCGGTCGTCACCGTCACAAGGAATGAGGCAAGTTACACAAAGGGCGACTTAAAATTGCACAAAGTAACAGTAACAGAAAACGTATCCTTGAACTTCAGACATTTGTTGAAAAAATAAATATCAGTCTGTAAAATATTTTGATATATAGCATTTTTATATTTGCAAAAAGACTTTCATTTCAATCCCATCTGACAGAATTTGTATGCTCCGAAACTTATTTATGCGACATAATAATATATTATGTCGCATAATTTTGTTTAGCATCACAAAGTAATAATGAAAATAAGACTACGTTAGAATTATGAACAAACCAAAAAAAGAGATGAGCGAACGAAGCGAGCGTACCGCTGCAACGATTGACGAGCCTACATCGTATCTTTAGAAATACCTTCTACGATAAGAAAATATTCTGACTGTAGATTTTCTGGGACATTATGACTCTACTCTTTAATTAAATGCATATCAAAATTTAAACCCTGAGATGATTCTAACTTTTAAATTTGTGTTCTTAAAAGTTATGCTAATTGACTCTCTGTCAAATGAAGTTTATGCGATTCAGTGTTTAAATCATCCATTAGGAATGTTCTTTTATGATATCTATAGAACTCAGTCGTGGTAAATGATAAAAGTGCTAAAGCCCTTTTGCTATGGAAATACGAAACAATTATGGTACCACAACCCTATACAGGTTGAAAAAATATAGAAATGTGTTTTACCCTATTACTAAAGTAATCAAACCGAAAATCAAACCAGATTTCCTCAAAGATGGCATCACCATCAAACCGACCGGCGTACAACCTACTCGACTATCATCATCATATTACCTTTCTATTTATCTTATAATATCATCATATATTATAGGATAATTAATAAGGATAGGGATTAGGAAAGAATGGGAGGTAATTTACTGATAGAACATTATATAGAAATTAAGCATCCATTACATGGTGATCTGGGAGAAACATTAATATTAAGGTAATATCATATATATGATAATATTGACAGCATTAGAGATATCAATAAAAATGTTTATTTATCTCAAGTTACCGAAGTTTTGATGCTCGTAAAGGTAGTAAAGAAAATATCGCGGAATACATTTCTAAAGTTTTTGCTATGATTATTTTCCTTTTCAGGAAATTAAAAATGGTGTTTTCGTTACCACGAAACCATCTGCGTACCCAGAGATAAAAAGCGACGTACCAAAACAACCACAAGCTATAAGAAGAATGGGTGACAATAAAGATGTTGATGCAAAGAAAACACGAATACCTAAGCTAAGGTTCAGGCAAGCGGTGAACAGGGTTAGAAAAGAGATGAGATCAAGCGATGGGGAGAAAGTGGTAAGTTTAAATTTTTCATGAGACATTAAGAATGTTGGCTTCTCAAAATATGAGGAGTTAACGACTGTTAACATATTTCATTTGCTCGACATGTGAACAAGATGTTTATGAATTGTGTTCTCAGTCTTCTGTGATGGATCATTGCATTGAGTATAGGAAGAACTAAAGAAACATTGGATGAGAAAGTGTTAAATAAAATGTTAATAACTGGTTTTCTTTTCAGCCCCCATACCAACGCCGATCTTCTATACCCAGACTAAAAAGGGTACTATCAATCGAAAAAGAGAAATCAAATAATAAAGAACCGTCACCAGTTGAAGATGAATTCGACAAAATATACGATGAAGCTGTAACAGTTCCTGTTTCCCTAGATGAAAATATACTTAATACGGAAATTGACGACCCTGTTAAAATAGAACATAGTTTTGAAGAAATAATACATGCTTACGACGAAAATGTTATACCGTCAAAAGATGTAGAGAAGCCGAAACATTCCAAAATACCTATGTTGAAACGTAAAAGCCAGCATGAAATTGAAGTACCGAAAAGCTATGGAAAAATAAACAACAACAATATACCTGCTGAAAGACTTAAAGTACAAGATGTAATAAATAGGTATTCAAAAATACATAACGAAGAAACTAAACCTAATAATAGAATTCCAACGAGAACTCATATTCCTAAATTATCAAAAGATAGTAATAATTGCGTCGAAAATAAAAACAATTACATAGTAGAAGAAATATCTTCTCCGATGATATATAATGTAAAAGAAATGGATGTTTCCAATTCACCAATTCAACATGTTATTACAAATTCGACTCCTAATGTCTCATATAACACAATAGATTTTTTTGAAGAAAAAGCTCCTATATACAATGAAATTGTTGAATTGTTACCTGTAAGAGAAATTAGTGAAGTAGAAATAAAAAGTGAACAAGAAAACGCCTCTATTAAGCCAGTCAAGGTAGCATCCATTAAAGAATTTAATATGGTTACTGAAAATCTCATGAAAAATACTGGGTATTCGATTGAATATAATATGAAAGATGAAGAGGAGGATACAGAACGAATAAACATATCTAATGTAACAAATACCTTTGATAATAGTGTGAACACATGTGATGAAGTTAAAGAAGAAATTATTGTTGAACAAATAAATTTAGATTACGATAAACACGACGATGATAATTTAGATGAGGACATATTAATTAAGGGGAAAGTAAGCAAAATGATTAGGCAACTAAGTTCGAATTTGGAACATAAAGATGTGAAACCTATATTGGATGAAGATGTACCTAAACCTAAATCAGTGTTAACAAAGATTGCCATGTTCGAGGTAAAATTTACTTTAATATATATAATATATATATATATATATATTATATATATATATATTATATAATATATATATATATATATATATATTGAGCCGTATATTCATAAATTTGAATTATTTTCATTTTTTTTTTATTTCAGCAATCCAGCCCTTCCAGTACTTTTCCTAAGACACAAACTGAAAATAAAACGCCAATAAGCTCCGTTGTTAGAATTGATGAAGAAAATGTACATAAACCTCATATTGTCAATGGGAAATTAAAGACACCAGATGAAAATAACGAAAATCACAATAAGAATCCTAATTCAACTATGTATGAAGAAAACAATAATATAGTCCATAATATAATATGTGAGGAATTCAACGTTCCTCCTTTAACGGTCGTTGATAAAATCTTAGAAACTGAAGATATTATTTTCGAAAACCAACCTGTTCAAAATAAATTTTTACTAAATGAGGCCACGATACAAAATGAACAATATTTTCCTAATAATCTTATTCAACATCATAAAGATGAAATAGAACTTGAAGCAGCTGAAACATATAGAATAGAATATGCTCATCCTGTCAATTCTATCGAAAGCATACCAATTGAAAATGATTCTAAACTAAATCAAATCAGGATTTTAGATAATAAAGAAGATGTCGTTTATGTTAATTATGAGAGTAACAAAATAGAAAACAGTGAGACTAAAAAATACAATAACGGACTTTATAAAAGTCATAACGAACTTGATTCATATAACACTGAACCCCAACTACTTGAATATGAAGGGCTGAGTAGCAAAAATATTGATAGCAAAAATACAAATGTTGATTTCAAAAGATTAAGAACTACTAGTGAACATATACGAAAAGAAAAAGTTAAATCAGTAGCAGATTTGGAATTAGGAGACGCCGTAAAAGGCAAAGTACACGAGCTGATATATCGAATGAATTCAAATGAACGGTTAAATGTTGAAAAGAAAGAAGTCATCAGCGCCAAGGAAAGGCCAAGGAAGAAATCTGTGTCGGAAAAAATTGCTCTGTTCGAGGTATGTTGGGAAACTTTCTTTGTGTTGTTTAAACTTTAATGGTCATTAAAATGATTGCTAACGCCGTGAACCCAGTTAATCCGTGATCATGGCGCTTGCTGTTGCAAGCGTTGTTGCGTCGAAATATCGGGAACTCGTAAAATATAAGGTACATAACTTTCTTTTTTATATATATTTTTTATAATCTAGCGTTTTTGCTTCGCCTGAGCAAATTATAGTCTATAAACATTTTTTTAGATTTTATCTTCGATACTAACGGGTTTGCACACTTATTACATTTTTTTCTAGTGTTTCCTAACCTCGTGGCCCAAAATCAGAAGACTTTATCGGTCCAGCAGTTTCGGAGCCTATTCAATATATAAAACCCAACAAACAATCAAAAGTTTCCACTTTATAATATTACTTGGTATGGATAACAGTCGGCTTCCGTGAAAGAATTTGCACCGACTCTAAAGTTAAATATTTTGCAAACCCTAAAGCCTAGTTGTATATTGTCCAAATAATGTGTTCATAATAGAACTACAAAGACCATCATAAGCAACCTTGCTAAACCGGTGTGAATATCAGTTTTTCCGGAGAACTAATTTAGTTCTAAATGCCATTAAATTAAAAAATCTCTTTAAAAAAATAGAACCGACTGCAAATTTAAAAAGATCTGGACAAAATTAAAATGGGACCACATGGCAAGCACTAGCTTTCAAATAAAGAATGAATCATCAAAATCGGTCCACCCTGTAAAAAGTTTTTAGGTAACAAACAAGAAAAACATACAGTGCAAGCCTGATAAAAACCTATTCATTATATCAGGTCCTAGGCTCGTTATTCCAAAACCTAGGACAAAGATGTCTTTGAAAAAACCTTCTTTGAAATCCATCTAAAATAAAAAGCGCATAAAAAGTGGGTATTTTTGTTTTTTTTTTTATAGAGAACATACCTATACATTAATCTTAACTGCCAGTTATCTCCCAGTTGTCTTTACAGAATTAACTCCAGGTATTTTTTACAATAATGTTGTGTTCAGTTTTATTTGGATTTTCCATGTACCTCATGGTAACTGTAAGTGTATTTCTTCCTTATTTTATTATTATTTCACTACATAGAGAATACCAAAAAAAATCATCAATATCCATTACTAATCCGCGTTGTACCTAGTAGACATTATAAACATATCAGCCGTACAACGCCCACTCCTGGGCAAAGCCTCCTTGATGGGTCATTGCGATCGGTACTGCCGGACGGTGGGTGTCCTACAAACTGATTAAGAGAACATTACCCGTTCATAGACGGATAGCAATCTCTTCAAATCTTTGTCCCACTACGATTGATAAACCGCTTTCTAAGCGTGGCGATTAAGGCAAACCACCCCATTAATGAATAGTAGACATCAAATCCTCTTTATCCATCCATAAGGAAGGTTGAGCCCATGCAGTGGGTACGTAAAACGGCTGATGATGAGGCATCAATACACAGCTTTTGTTTAAAGATCACGAATAGATTGCAAAGCGATTGGTACATACACCTACCCTTTTTTTATAAATTATTGTGTTAAGGCTGAGCATAAATAAAAAACTATTACTATTCGCTCGGCAATAAAATAGATAAGAATACAGGATAGACTTATTGTAAACATGTTGCATATATCCGATCCCAATTGGTTTCAAAGTGACTCGAGTATTTACCAATTTTCCTAAAACATATCTAAGGATCGAAAAAACTTGAAAAAGCAAGTAACCGGAAAAATGTGAATGTTAGAGGTAGTTTTATTTTTTATTTTTTTCGAGAATATTTAATAAAAGCACTGTTCGACTGTGAAAATACCCTTAGAAACAAGATATTGTTTCTGATTTTTATTAAAAGCTTATTTGGACGTTATTTGTAGGTGCATTCAGCAGCAAAACATTGTGCAACATTCTCCACTTCGTTTCAAATCTTAATGATCTGAGGGTAGAATTTGAATTCAACTGGAGATGTGTAATCAATTTAAATGGGCATTTTATAGGTACATAAAATAGCACGCGCAGGCCGCCCCGTTTGTTTTTACGCTTTTTTTTTAGTTACATTTAACTCCGTGAATAGGTATTAGGTACTAGTTTTCACACATTCGTTCAACTAAAATATGAACAAAAAACGCGCGATACGGGGTGGGCTAGATATAACTTTGCGGTGTATGTAATCTATGATTGGACTGAAATATCTTTTAGTAGCTTTCTGCCAGCAGCTTTACCCGCGAGGTTCTGTATTATAATTAAAAACTTTCTTTTTGTTTTGAATCACCCTATAAAATAAAAAATCAGCACTAAAATCTGTTGCGTTGCTTTAAAGAACTAAGTATACATATGAACAGACAGACGGAAAGGGTCTTTGTTTTATACTAAATTTCCTATCCCCTACACTAGACATAGCCTGACCTGAGGAAAACAATAGAGTACGATTTCCATTACAAATACATATCTATAGCATGAAAATTACATAAAATAAAGGAAAAGAAAACATAAAAAGACAGTATATTCAAATAATATAACAACCAAATACTGAACGAAGAGGGCATTTGTACTTTTAGATATGTATATTATTAAACTTATCTAAAGAAGCTGGCAAAGTTATTATCAATAATTTAAGCAATTACTTCCATTATGTATTCAAATCCTATCAAAAAAAGTCAGTCAGAAACTCAACATCGGACTTAAACAAGCACAATATTCTATTTCTCCTCGAACGAAAATTCAGAAGATTTCAAATCGTTCTTATAATTTTGTCTGAATCTTCTTTGAAGATTATATGGGCATCAAAGACAGTGTCAGGTTCTACAATTGTTGCATAATGAAATATCTAAAACTGCGTTTCTTTGGATTCCGAAAATAGACGGAATTGCGTTTTCGCTGAATTAGGATAGACCTTCAAGTGTTTCGTTAATTCATATGAATGGTTGTTTTTGAAAATGTTATTTCTTCATTTTCAGGGTAAACTTGCCGTAGCAAAGATAACATCCGAGACAAAATCTCCCCCAAAACGTTCTACTAAACCGCAACAGCCAGGGCCCATAGTATTACAAGATGATGAAGTGGAAGTTAAAATAGCAGAGTTGAAGGCTGCTAAGATAAAATATGGATGTACACAGGTGAACAAGACAGTTGTACTGGCAAACTCAGAAGAAATGCCGGCGATAGCGGTAGGAACAGCATTGGTAAGTCTTAGAGAGAGGGGAGAAAATTCTGTATGTAATAATAAATTGTAAGAAGCGATACCTACTTATATCTCCAGTTACCATTATCTATTAAAGTGTCACTTTGATAGACGCCATCTGTATAACAACAGAAAAGAAGACTCAGATCGGTAGGTGAAAAATGTTAAAGGATTCAAAAGTACCCTTGTTTACGCCGAAGCTCCTTCAGATTTGAAATAGCAATATTTTTGACACTAACGTATCAGTACAATAATTAATACTGTAGGTAGAATAATAAAAAATTGTAATTCTCTCTCTTCAAATAATGTTTGTCATATCTATAACATCTCCGCATGAAATATCTTGTAATTGAAGAAATATAAGCTATTATCAAGATTTCTGGGTTTCATTAGAGACTCCTTTATGTTACATAAAACATAAATTGGTGGCCCATGAGGGGAACAAATATTCAGAGAAGAAATTCTAAATTAATTTCGGACTCGACATTGCGACTGAAGTTGATGCAATAAATTGAAGTTCATAACCCTGTATTGGATAAAGTTGGGACTAAACACTAATATTAACATCAAGCTAAGTGTCGGAGCAGTGAAACAGCAAAAGTTTTACGCCGCAGTACAAAAAAGATAAGTGTCTTTCCATTGACCTTTGTCCATCCCTAAATTACATTCATACCTAATTAATACCAAATTGTCGATCCTAAATATAGAAATATTTCCTAGTTTTTACAATGTTTATTCCATAATATCTAAAGAATTGTCCAGATAATCTCCACTTGTAATTACAACAACGAAGTACTTTTAGAAAATTAACTATCCTACCTACCTATTTAAATACTAAAACTTAGAATTTATTGGAATCTGCTTTATAAAATAATTACTTTTAGGTCTTTTCTACACAAAAGGACAAAGTTATTTTAATTACAAAATGTTCCCTATACTTAAATATAATAACATACAGTAAGGTTTATTGGATTACCGTCATAGTATAAATTAACTAAAGAATCATTACATTTTTATACAATAGCTTCATTTAATAGTTTCGCCTTTACTTGTTATAATTTTGTAAAGAGAAATTTAAACTACCTGTCTCATAAGATAGAATAACAAATTTTGAGTATTGATAATTAATTTTCTTTAAATAAATACATATAAAAATAAAATAAAATAAACATTTTTTAACAAGGTTTTGCATTGTTTGTTAAAAATATCTTGCCGACATTTTTCAGGGAGTGATCAGGAACTCAAGTAACATGACTAACTGAGGCTTAGTGCAGCTGCTATATATATGTGCGTTATCTCAGCGGACCTGCAAGCGATTTCCTGTTCAACTGATTTGAGGAGCGTGAGAATAACTTTCATTACTTTATTAATTTGGAGAATTAACTTTGCCACTACATACAAGTAAATAATATATTAACTTCAAAAATAAATATAAATAAATTATAAAAAATATTTACTTGAAAAATATTATTTGATTTTATAATGTCGAATCCAACCGAGGGGTCCTCATCAAGTGCTTCAAACGAAAAACTAAAAGATTTGATGACGAAACGTAACTCCATAAAAGGGCAAATTACAAAGTTTAAAAAATATTTAAAAATCATAAGTGATAAAAAGGAACTTTCAACTATTGCTTTAGTAGAATTAAATCTTAAACTTAGCAAGTTTGAGGCCTTGTCGGTAAAATTCGACGATTTGCAAAGTGAAATCGAGATATTAAATTCAAACAATATTGATGCTGAAATCGATGAGCGAGAAGACATCGAAAATAATATTATTATTAACATTGCTTCAGCTAAAACTTTAATTGAAAAATATAATCAAGTAGAAAGCGAGATAAGGCGTGCGTCCCTCACTCACGAAACTCATTGTATTCTCGATCATCAAGAGCTTAGTTTTAAATTGCCTCAAATACAAATCTCCAAATTCGACGGCGCTTATTTTCGCTGGTTGGAGTTTCGAGACACTTTCGAGAATCTTATACATAACAACAGCCGTATTAAGGCAATTCATAAATTTCATTATTTAATATCCTATTTGGAAGGAGATGCCGCTAGAATTGTATCGAATCTCGAAGTGTCATCCGTGAACTATATAGAGGCATGGAAACTACTTTGTGAACGATATGATAATAAGAGGTTGTTGATAAATCACCATTTAAGTTCATTATTTACTATACATTCTATTAACCGTGAGTCGGAACGGTCCTTACGATTTTTGGTAGATCATGTGACAAAGAATTTACGTGCTTTGGCAAATTTGGGCCAACCGACAGATAAGTGGGATATTGTTATAATATTTATGCTATCTTCAAAACTTGACAATCGAACGTTAATGAAATGGGAAGAATACCGTAACACTCTTCCTGATGTTCCAACCTTGGAACAATTTTATAAATTTTTAATAGATCGCGCGGATGTTTTAGAATCACTAAATCGCAATAAATACGATAATAATACATCAAGACACACATCTAATAGTGTGCAACCGACGTCTTCGACGATTCATAACAAAAGTTTTATTCATAAAAATGATCGATCTGCATTTACAAAATCATTTGCCAGTGCTAATAAACAATTAAAGCAAATTATTTACTCTTGTGTCATTTGCAATGAATGTCATAAAATATATGACTGTCCTACATTCAAGGCCAAATCCGTTAAAGAAAGATTGGCCGATGTAGCTAAATACAAACTGTGCTCCAATTGTCTCAGACAAGGTCATCCCACCAGCGAGTGTCGCATGGGCCCTTGTAGGGTATGCAATAAAAGGCACAATAGCCTTCTTCACAACCCTATCGACACGCATAAGGTAACTGACGTTGTATGCCAAACTAGTCAAATAGGTTTCAACATGAACCAGGTTGTTTTAAGTACTGCTTTGATCGAGGTATGTAACCCCAAAACTGGTGCAAAACTTCAGGTAAGAGCTTTACTGGACTGTGGCAGTCAGTCTTCATTTTTGACTAAAAGATTAATGAAAAGGTTGTGTCTAGATCCTATTAAAATTGATACATTACAAGTCATGGGCATTGGTAATCATTGCGCTAACGTAGTGAAGGAAACTTGCCTTGCTCAAATAAAATCATTACATAGCAAATTTAACATTAACGCATCTTGTTTCATATTAGAAGATCTAACAGGCGATCTACCAAAGACGCCATTAGATATAAATACTTTAAAATTACCAAATAACATAAAATTAGCTGATCCTAATTTCAATCAACCACGCTCAATCGACATGTTGATTGGTGCTGATATATTTTGGGAAATACTAGGTAACAAGAAACTGTCCTTGGATACACATAATGCAAAATTAACAGATTCAAAACTAGGTTGGTTGATTGTGGGGTCTCTAATTTCTAATATATCCTCACATATTAAATGTAATCATAGTATTATGAATCATGATTCAAATATTGAAATTGAAAAAATGTTAACAAAGTTTTGGGAAATGGAAGAACTTCCACCCAAAAATGTTCTAAATGAACATGAAAGAGAATGCGAAAATCATTTTTTGACTCATACTACTCGTTTTAGTACGGGTCGGTTTTGTGTTAAATTGCCTTTAATTGATACTGCTGACTGTCTTGGAAATTCCTTTACGTTAGCCAAAAGACGTTTACTTAATTTAGAAAAAAGATTCAATAGAAATCCAAACTTAAAAAATGATTATTCTAACTTTATTAAAGAGTATGCCGATTTGGGTCATCTTACAGAATCACCTGTAGCAAACCCAAACCCGTCATATTTTTTATGTCACCATGATGTATTCAAATCAAGCAGCGAATCAACTAAGCTCCGTGTTGTTTTCGATGGGTCCGGCTTCTTTGTCCGGCTTTTCATTGAATGATATTTTGATGGTGGGTCCAAATGTTCAAGACTCTCTTTTCTCCATTTTAGTCCGAGCTAGGCAGTACAAATATCTATGGACTGGCGATATTGAAAAAATGTATCGCCAGGTCCAAGTAGATAATGAGGATGCTAATCTGCAGCTGATCTTATGGAGAGAAGGGGAGTCTCAACCCATTAAGACCTTGAAGCTGAATACTCTCACTTACGGCACCGCAAGTGCGAGCTATTTAAGCACAAGATGTATCAAACAAATTGGTGACGAACAAGAGGATGAATTGATAAAAACGATTATCCATAAAGATTTTTACATTGATGATTTGGTAACCGGTTCTAAAACGAAATCGAGTTACGGCACATTCAAAGGGAGGTCACGAAAGCCTTGCTTTCTGGTTGTTTTAATCTAAGAAAATTTAGAAGTAATTTAAAAAATATTTTCGAAAATTCAAATATAAATACACTCAAAGATCTAACTATTAGTGAGTCCTCCAACACTCTGGGGCTTGGATGGGACCCTTCTAGCGATAGTTTACATTTCCCGATAAAATCAATCCCTGAAACAGAACAAATCACAAAAAGATTTATAATGTCTAATGCGTTCAAGTTGTTTGACCCTTTGGGAATTTTAAATCCATGCACAATTCGTCCCAAAATGATATTACAGAAATTGTGGCAGCAGAAAATAGGCTGGGACCAGCCTGTTTCAAATGATATTAAACAAGAATGGCTAGGTTTTATTAAAACTCTAAATTGTTTATCAAATTTGCAAATACCTAGGTGGGTCATATGTGACTCTCCTAAATGTATAGAACTGCACTCTTTTAGTGACGCATCGCAATATGCTTACGGAGCTTGCGTATATATGCGATCAGTAGATGCTAGTAACGCTGTCACAGTAAGATTGATGTGTGCCAAGTCTAAAATATCTCCCTTGAAACCTACTACCATTCCTAGGCTAGAATTGGCTGCTGCTGTTCTCGCCTCTAGGTTATGCAATTCCGTCACTGAATCTTTAAGACTAGTACCTGATAAACTAGTGCATTGGTGTGATTCGACCACTGTTTAAACATGGATAAATAATGATGTCCAAAAATTAAAAACATTTGTAGCCAACCGAATAATAGAGATTAATGAGAGAACAATTGGATTGGCGTTACGTACCAACCTCTGCTAATCCGGCTGATTTGATTTCCAGAGGCGTAGATTGTAATCAAATAATTTCACTCAACCAATGGTGGTCTGGGCCTCGTTTTTTGGGAGATGATGAATCTACTTGGCCAGTTTTAAATTCCAATAATATTAATTCTAAACACAGTGAGGTATTATGTGAGATAAAGGTTAATAATATCACAACTACTAATATAGAAAAAATTGACAATTTTGAAAATTATTCTACATTAACTAGAATTCAGAGAACTTATGCATATGTATTAAGATTTTATTTTAATGCTAGAAATAAACCAAATAATCGCAAAGGTCATTTAAACTTAGATGAATTGAATCAATCATTTAATTTTCTTTGTGTTATTGCTCAGAAGGAAATATATCCGATTGAATATGATTTATTATCAAAAAACAAGCAACTAAGTGCCAATTCCAAATTGATATCTCTTTCTCCCTTTATGGATGAAAATAACTTAATAAGAGTTAGAGGGCGCATAGAAGCTTCAGATTATACACGCTTCACACCATTTAACGGAACTAATTTTTAGAAGTGAACATTCAAAGAATATGCACGCTGGTCCACAGTTATTATTAGCAATAGTTAGGGAAACTGTGTGGCCCGTTAATGGACGATATCTTGCTAGAATAACCGTTAATAATTGTATGCGATGTCGCGGTAAAACATTATGCCCTAAGATGGGAGTTTTGCCGTCACAAAGGATAACTCCTAATTATCCGTTTTGGTCGGTTGGGTTAGATTTTGCTGGACCGTTTAATATTTTAAATCGTAAGGGCCGCGGTAGCAGGCTCGTTAAATGTTATTTATGCATATTTATTTGTATGCGCTATAAATGCGTTCACTTGAAAGCTGTAAGTGATTTGTCAAAGGACGCTTTTGTTATGACGCTAAAAAGATTTATAGCTCGAAGAGGTAAGCCACAGGAAATATTTTGCGACAATGGACGCAACTTTGTCGCTGCAGCCAGGGAATTGGGGGATTTTTTAAAGAAAAATAATGATCCTCTATCTGACTTTGCAACTCAGAATAGTATTAAATTTATTTTCACTCCGGCTTATGCTTCTCATTTTAGCGGAATATGGGAAGCGGGAGTAAAGTCCGCAAAATATCATATAAAACGGGTTTTAGGTAATAGTCATCTAACGTTTGAAGAAATTTCTACGTTGTTTGCCCAAGTGGAGGCTATCTTAAACAGTCGTCCTATATGTCCTCTGTCTGCGTCTCCTAATGACTTCCTATCCCTTTCACCTGGACACTTTATCATCGGTAGACCTTTGACTGCGTTTCCTACACCTGCTCTTGAAGATTGCAATGAAAATCGACTACAAAGGTATGCCCGTCTTGAGAAGATCCGCCAGCACTTTTGGCAGAGGTGGCAAAAAGAATATATCTCCGAGCTACAGCAAAGAGTTAAATGGAGAGTTGACAAGGCGAAACTAAACATCGGTGATATGGTTTTACTTCAAGAAGATCACGTGCCTCCACTGAACTGGCGTCTTGGCAGAGTTTCTCGTTTGTACCCTGGTTTGGACGGTATATCTCGAGTTGCTGACATACAAACAACAAAGGGATGCATACGAAGACCATTGGTTCGTCTATGTCGTTTGCCAACGTCGGAAGAAATCGATGCTTGAAAGACTTCTTTCAGCGGGGGGAAGATGTTTACGCCGAAGCTCCTTCAGATTTGAAAAGCAATATTTTTGACACTTTAACGTATCAGTACAATAATTAATACTGTAGGTAGAATAATAAAAAATTGTAATTCTCTCTCTTCAAATAATGTTTGTCATATCTATAACATCTCCGCATAAAATATCTTGTAATTGAAGAAATATAAGCTATTATCAAGATTTCTGGGTTTCATTAGAGACTCCTTTATGTTACATAAAACAACCCTTAATATGTTTATAATAATTATTGTAGATTTGACAGTAGCGTTACCAAATTAGTATTTTTATTTCTTAATGAAAAATGCTTATAAAATACACTTGCTCCTAATACTTTGAGATAGGACTCGGACCCACGACCTTTCGCAATTCGGGCGACAGCACTGAGCTACTCAGGACTTAACAGGACCTGACGAATTTTTCAATCACTACAACAGATATATTTTCCAGTATATCATTGTAAAATTTGATTAAATATAATAGTATTTTTATCCCAAACTTATCCCCAACAAAACATGTCAAATGAATAAGCTGAATGACATGTCTTCATAACATCGCTAAGATATCGTCTCCTTTGGCTAGAATCATGGCAAAAGTGTTAGGCGGGATTTTTTGCACCGCGGATATTTTGACCAAGACAATGGGCGTGGTCACAACCTGGCAAAGTCAAAGTAAAATAAGCTTTATCCGAATAACATATTAAGAGTGCTTTTGAATCGTTCAGTGTCTTTCACCTAGCGACTTGAGATTTCTTTTCTCTATAAAAGTGATGATAGCGTTTAACAAACGTAACACTCTAAAAGATAATGGCGTCAAATCTGTGGTACCAATTTATTAAATTGAATAAAAGAACTAATTTTGATTTGATTTTGTTTCAATGTTATTCCATAGTTACAATCACAAGTATTTTCTTTCATTCCTGTATACTTTAATTAAATTACAATTAGGCCTCTGTGTTTTTTTTATCTCATTCAATAAAAACTGATTCATTATCGGCCGGTTTCTGAATTGAGATAGTACAAAATCTGAACTGATTACCTATTATTAATAAATTAAGTTTTTTTACGTTTCATATGGCAAAAAGTATTAGATTTATCAAATTGCTATCAACTGATTATTAAAAATTTGTAAATCAGCAATGAAAACATGTTTTAATGACATTTAAAGTGGCTTAAGCACGGTTTGAGGCGTGCTCAACTTCAAATTCTCAATTCAGAAACCGGGCGTTAGTCATGTAGCAATTTTAATGATAACGTTGTTTACAGTTAGACCCCAAAATGACGGTCCACATAGTGTCAGCAGCGATAGACTTGGGCTACCGGGCCATAGATACCGCTTACATCTACGGCAGCGAGAAGGAAGTGGGGGAGGCTATCAAGAAGAAGATAGAAGATGGTACCGTTAAGAGGTAAATATGACCACGTCAATAGAAGAAAAAGAAATAATGTGAATAAATTAGAGAACATTGAATTCTTATAGTTTAAAAAAGAATTAAAAAGACAATCAACATCTTAGTCTTATGTGAACACGAAACCTGTAAGAAAACATCGATAAAACTAAATACACACGCGATGGAACTGTTTAAAAGTTGTTTCATTACATTTATAAACCAATAAAGTTGTAATATTTCTCATCCAGCGTTTGCAACAACCAAGGTGGTTTAGGTTTGTTTAGGTTTCTGTCGTCTATTAAGGTAAGACTTCCTATACATTCATAAAAACAAATCCAGTGCGATTTGGACTCGCGTACCGCTTAATTATATATATTCTAGCGGCAACACCAATACATCATCAGTAGAATTTAAACTATCTAGCTATCACGTTTCATGAAATACAACCTGGTGAAAGACAGACGGACAAAACCATTATGCCAAAGTGCCCATCTTTAGTTCACATTATATTTCTGTATTTTTCTCAACATTGGACTAAAACCTATATTTTTTTCCAGAGAAGAGTTATTTATAATGTCTAAGTTATGGAGCACGTATCATCGTACTGATCTAGTGGAGGTCGCCTGCAGAAAATCTCTGGAAACTATGGGTCTTGATTACTTTGACCTATATATGATTCACAACCCCATGTCTTTCAAGGTAAGATATATCAAGATAACTATCAGATGCAGAATAGATTGATTGGTACATGGGTATTAATGACAGCTCTCATTCTCAAGCGCGGGTACACCGCAGGTGGTTTTTGTAAATAGGCCTTTAGGAACCCACCTCGCGATTAGCCGCGTGGAGGAACGAAGGAGAGTCCTGCACACCCCCTGTCCCTTGCCAGGCAGCAGTGGTAGCACCTTTCGCATTTCGACGAAAAAGGGGTGTTAATTTGCAATCAGGTCAGTCAGGAAAAAAGGAGCTGGAGTAATTAATTGTTTGCGTCATCTCTGGTTTAATCCCGTTACAATAGAGAAAAATCTTTTCCTATATTTTCTCAGATCTGGATATTGTGGTACCTTTCTTGTTTAACATTTTCTAATACAAGGGCTTTGTATGTGATGCTGTCTAATATTATTTTTTATTATTATGCAGGAAGGACCAGACCCAATACCGAAGATAGCCAACGTGCTCCAATACTCTGAACACGACTTCTTGGACGCATGGTTTGGGATGGAGCAACTAGTGACAAAACAGCTGGTTAAGAGTATCGGTGTCAGCAACTTTAATGCAGCACAGCTGCAACGCCTGCTAGACAAGGCGAGGATCAAGCCTGTCGTTAATCAGGTGAGAGATCAATAATGATAAATATGTCCTAAGTGGTTGAAAGCCAATTGTTAAAATGAGCTGATCGTGGTTCGACGCTAATTCTTGACCCTACCACCCATCCGTTCAAGTATCTGCTGGCTGATAAAGATAACATAAATAACTCATTAGATATTATTATAAAACTGATACCTTGGTTCATCTCTTTTTCAGGTGGAATGCCATCCATATTTAACTCAGCAAAAGCTCGACCAGTTCTGCTCAGAAAACAACATTAAATTGAGCTGTTTTGGAGTACTGGGCTCTAAAGGTAAGAACTTTTAGTGTCACAAGCATACGTAAATATAACAGCACGTCAGATCATACAAATCTGTCTTTGAATCATAATGTTTTGCGGGTGGAGTTTAAAATCAATTGTAGGACACATGGACATATTGTGTAGCCATGTGTACCTACCTTTTAATTAATGAATGAAAGCTGTAATTTTATTTTCAACTTGTTGGTGTCTTGGATTTTAGTGCATATCGACGCATGTCCATTTTGGTTTTGCAGGTTACTACGCGTTTGCTTTCCAGCGTCGATATGATGAGGAGTTGTTGTATGAATAAATAAAACAAATAATGTAATATTAGGAGAAATATTGGTTTATAGAAGTTAAACAAGAGTATCGTTGTCGTAGCTTTGTTTTCGGAATTAACTCTTTCGGGTTTGGTGGTTAGATATCTAACCACCTTTTTAATATTTTATTTGAATATTTTCACGCCATCTATTGACAAAGAACGTACCTATTCTGATTCCATAAAGCGTCATTAACCGAGTTTTATACAACTTTGGCGCTAGTTGTTGACTGTTACTTTATTACGATAATTCGAAATTGTGTGTGAAGTGAAATTTCATTATCAGTGCGTTGAAAATTGAATTTATAAGGTAAGTGAGCTAATGATACCGATATTTTTGTGTTTTTACATTGTTTAGTAATTATTTCATTGACTATTGTAAAAAAGTAAAGATTATCTTTAATATTTTTTTGTAACTAACAAAAATTATAAGGTGGTTTGATAAGTGACCACTGTAGCTGTATGAGGTTTTAGTTTACTTGTATTGATCGATTGTGTCCTTTTGTTATAAAATTGTTATATTTTCAGAATGCCGCGTATAATGAATGAACGGGACATTGAAAGTATTCTTCTAGAAGATATACCTTCAGATAGTGACAGCATCTGTAGTGTGGAATCCAATGAAAGTCTGATGGTCTTAGGAGACATACCTCCTGAGTTAGAGGCAGTTGTTGAGGACGGCTCTCCTTCGGATGACGATATTCCTTTATCTAATTTTACAAGTACATCGACGACTAATACCCCTGATTCTATCATGGTTCAGCCGAAGTGGAAGAAAAACTTTAGAATGGACGAACCGGGTGAATATACAGGAGATGGAGGTATAACACAACATATAATAGATTTAGAGAATGTCACACCTACGCAGCTGTTCGGTGTGTTTTGGTCTGAAGAATTAATTCAAATTATCTGCTTTCAAACTAACTTGTACGCTACGCAAAAAGGTAACTCTTATACACCAACAACTCCTGAAGAGATAGGAGTCTTTCTTGCCTTGAACTTGGTGATGGGTATAAAAAAATTGCCTAGCTATAAAGATTATTGGTCCTCTGCCCCAGATTTACATGACCCTTATATATCATCTTTTATGCCACTCAACCGCTTTGGCTGGCTTCTAAATAACATACATTTGAATGATAATAGTCTCATGCCTACTAGGACTGACGCTAATATGACAAGCTTTATAAGATAAGACCCTTGCTAGATATTCTAAGAAGAAATTTTGATAATAACTATAAGCCAACAGAAAAACTAGCTATAGATGAAGGCATGATAAAATTTAAGGGTCGCAGTTATCTCAAGCAGTATATGCCCAAAAAACCAATAAAACGTGGATACAAAGTATGGATGATGTGTGCTGAGTCTGGTTATTGTTTAGATTTCGAAATATACGAGGGTCAAACTGAAAGTTCTTAGAACTGGCCACTTATAAACAATATAATAAAAAAATAATTCTAAAATTTGAAAATATAACTCTTTGCCAATATTACTGACTATATATTTCATTCATTTGTCATTTGTTTTACGATTTGGCGGCAAATTGAAAATTGTCTGTGTCACGTCATCATGAATTTAACACGAGAAAATTTTCGTGCAATGATTTTTTATGACTTTCGATGTCATTTAAGTCAACAAGAAAGTTATGATAGACTACGATTGGCCTTTCACGATGAAGCCCCATCTCGTGCGACTGTTTACAACTGGTTTAATGAGTTTAAACGTGGTCGCACTAATCTCACTGATGATTTACGTGAGGGACGGCCTTCTACGGCGACGACTGAAGATAACATCTGTGTTGTGCGGCGTATGATAGAGACTGACAAAAGAGTGACCTATCAACAGATTCGGACAAGCTTAGGCATCGGTATGAGTCAAGTGCACAAAATCCTCCACGAACATTTAGCGGTCAGGAAGCTTTGCGCCCGGTGGATACCTCATAATTTGACTGAGGCTCAAAAACTCCATCGTGTGGATTGGTGTCGTAAAATGATTGAAAGATTTAACGGAGGTGACTCAAATGCTGTGTTCGACATACTAACAGGTGACGAAAGCTGGATTTACTGTTATGATCCTAAAACCAAAAGACAATCTGCTCAGTGGGTGTTTCCTTTCGAGGAGTTGCCAACTAAAGTGAAGAGAGATCGAAGTGCGGGAAAAAAAATGGTGGCCTCGTTCTTTGGAAGGATAGGTCATTTTGCAACAATTGTGTTAGAGGATCAAAAAACAGTTTCTGCAGAATGGTACACTACCAATTGTTTGCCACTTATCTTGGAAAAAGTTCGAGAGAAACGACCTCGCAGTAGGATCCTCCTTCACCACGACAACGCCTCGTCGCACACCGCCAAGCGAACGATCGACTATTTGGCGACATCAAACGTTGAATTACTGGGTCACCCGCCGTATAGCCCCGACCTCGCGCCTTGTGATTTTTATTTATTTCCAAAAATTAAAGAAAAACTTAAAGGAAAGCGGTTTATGAATGCTGAAGAAGCGGTGGCTGCGTATCGCGATGCCATTGAAGAGACCCCTAAGGACGAGTGGGCAAAGTGCTTTTCCCAGTGGTTCCATCGCATGCAGCGGTGTATTGACGTGAATGGACAATATTTTGAAAAGATATAATAAAACTAATAACTGGCTAATGTAATCAGTTTTTGATTTTCTAAGAACTTTCAGTTTGACCCTCGTATACAGGGAAAGATGGAACTAATGTGCAAACTGACTTAGGTGGAAAAGTTGTTCGTCAGTTTTGTGAAAATTTAAAATTAAAGTATCATAAAGTGTTTTTCGATAACTATTTCAACAGTTATTTGTTACAAGTTGATCTGCGTAAAGACAGTATTTTGGCTTGTGGTACTGTCAATTCTAATAGAAAATATCTACCCAAGCTGAAAGAAGACAAAGATCTAAACCGAGGTGAGCATGATTACCGGGTCTCTGACAAGAATATTGCCATTTCGAAATGGAAAGACAAAAGGTCTGTATTTCTTCTCACTAATTACTTAGATCCAACTACGACAGGTATTGTGTCACGAAGGGAACGTAATGGAGACAAAACTGAAATACCCTGTCCAGATGCTGTGATGAAATACAACAGTTCTATGAACTTTGTTGATAGATTCGACCAAATAAAAAGTACATATGCTATTGACAGAAAGTCCAAAAAATGGTGGCATAGAATATTTTTTCATTTTTTAGATTGTGCTGTCGTAAACTCTTTCTTAGTGTATAAAGAACTCCAGCAAAAACACCATCAGCAAATGGAACAGTTGAACGCTAAAGACTATCGCAGAAGTCTTTACCAAGGAATCCTAGCTCCAGCTCAGGCAAGGAAACGTGAACATGGTCCAAGACGCTCTTGTAGCTCCTCTTCACCTTTACCCGTTATGATAAAACGCCATAAACCCACGGTCCCCTCAGAATTACGTCTGGAAAGTAGTATGCACCAACCAGAACGGACAACTTCACGAAGATGCGCAAACTGCAGTACGAAAATAAATCCAGCGCGTACTGTATGGCAGTGTAGCACCTGTAAAGTGCCCTTGTGTATTTGTAAAGATAAAATGTGTTTCCAGGAGTTCCATAAAAAATAACTATGATGTATTTCTACATGTAACAATTTTTACTCACACTGTTGTTTTCGTTGATTATTTATAGGCCTACAGCCATAGTGGTTAGTAAACTAACCACCTAATTTCTCAAAAACCCCTTGACATGTTTTTTATTTCCTTTTTTTAAGTAATAATATACCCCAATTAAACCAAATTTACCATTGTTTTATTTATAAAGTGTGGCTCAAAGAGTTAATAAGCTTTTAGATGTTAGGGATATGTCGAAGTTAGTATCAAAGTTTTAAGAAGCTATTTCTGTAACACACATAAAAAAAAAATCTGTGATCTGTAATTAATCTATGTTTCTTAATGTCGCTTACCAAAATCTGAATCAATTCACGTTCAGATCAGATTAGTTTTTTTTACAAATAAATAAAATAAATATTAGACCACTTGCTTATAACTCAATTAAGTATTATCATTAAAATCTGAAACGACGAAGGCGAGACCCGAGACTATATAAAAAGTTTTTTTTTCATTGGAACGACTGAGAATCAAACTTCGAGAGTCGAACTCAGGACCTCAGAGATGGCGACACCTTGAAACCAGCGGGCGACCCTCTCGCCACGGTCATCATGCAGCTACTTTTGGAAAAAAAAGGAAAAAGCGAGTTCTAGAATGGAGACCGCGAGTTAGAGTAGCCCAAAACAGGGGAAAATTGAACGTGTTGGGGAGGCCTATTTTATTATTGTATTAGGCAGCAATGGACTCGTATAAGGGGATGATGACGATGAAGAGCTTTTAATGTGGTATCTTATTTAATAAGAGTTGTGTTTTAATCAAGGCACTCCGTTGGAGTATAAGGGCTCCAATAACCCAGTACTGGACGATCCCCTTGTGCAAGTGATGGCAGCAGGACTGAATGTCACTCCGGCACAACTTCTGATCAGGTACAAATCATAGAGAGACATTACATTTAGTACATCCCTAGGGCAAGCAAAAAAAATATAAGACATATATATTATGTGAACGTCCTAAGGAAACGATATATATCGCTTTAATAGGCTTGCCCCATGGATAAACACTTATTAAAATTACTATTTGTTTAAAGCGACATTACCGATAAAAAATTTCAAATGTAGAATGTTCATTACAGTTAAAAGAAGTCATTAAACTTTAATGGACGTTTGCGGAAAAAAAAGGGTTCAATACACTAAATATTAGGTCGCTGACCTGACCTCGTTCCACAATAAAATAATACATACAAAGTTTGATTCAGTCCCAAATATTGTTATTATTAATAATAATAGATTTTTAAATTAGACAATAGGGCCCAGGGGCGCGGTCGCCTAACCCTCTAGACTTGATTCTAGCCATAGGATACGACATCTTAGCGATGTTATAACGATATTTCATTTCATGTTATTACTTTCTCATGTTTTGTGTTAAGAGTCATATTACATTTCAACGGTGATTTTTGCTATTTAAAATGGTCAATTTTAGCGTTCTTGATCTGAGAAACAAAAATATATTAATAACATTGAGTTGTTGATTAATGCAGAATAACTTTTGCCAGAAGAACTCGTAGTGGGCTCATTTGTTAGACATTTTTCTTATCATTTTAGTAAACCCAAAAAAAGCAAAGAAAGATTTTCATAAAATACGTGAAGACACTTTTTCGAGCTCCTAGATTGAGCTACTGTTCTAAACAAATGAAATAAAAACTGGTGTATGAACGAGAAAAGTTGGTAACATAACTGCCAATCCATAATTTTTTTTTTTGGCGGTAGACAAAAAACAAGTAACAACACTTCCCTCTAAAATAATTTTTAAAATTAATAATATTATAATAATCTGTGTAAATTATCTTTTAATTAAAAGAATAACTTACATTTTTTTATATATTGTGTGGGCAACATTCTCTGATGAGTATTTAACTGTTTAAACTACACTATCCTGTCGCAACACCAGTTCTCACTATAAAACATTAACACCACATCGCTGTGCAAGATAAAACTTTAAGTCATGGCTAAAATTGCTGCTGTTCTTGAAACTCAGAAGTCTCTAGAAACAATGTTGATGAGGCGAATGACTGATCTGGAGGCTCAGCTACACACTAAAACGACATCTCCCAAAGAAGACAAAGACAAGTTAACTCTGATTCAGGAAGTATTCAACAGCTTTGAAGTTCTTGTGATTAGCATCTTCAAATTGCTCCGACAACAGACAGTGAAATACTGAAGGACGTCGATACAATGGAAACAAGACAGCGTCAGAAATGTCTTTTGTTTAGTGGAGTGCCGGAGAAGTCTGACGAGAACCTATCGGTAACTGTTGTCACTCTATTTCAGAGGCATTTGGCAGAGACTGATGTCTCCAATAATAGTGTTAAAACCAGCTACAGGCTAGGCCACTTCATTGAAGGACGTACACAACCAATAGTTGTCCAATTTTTTAACATCACTAGCCGGTCATTTGTGTAGAAAAATAAAACTTAATTCAAGGGATCCTCATTGGTGTTACATGAGTTCCTAACTAAAGATCGGCAGGCTGCTTTCAAAACTGCAAGGGACCACTTTAGTGTTAATAAGGTATGGACTTCTAATGGAACAGTCTGTATTTCACTCCAGACAACAGTGTTGTGCGGCTTGTTTCATTGGACGAGTTGCATAAGGTAATCACAAAGTTTCCCAGAACATCCCCTGTGGCCGGAGCATCAGATGTGGAGCCTTCTCAGATACTTAAGCCAGTTCAGACCACAGCTAAGCGAGTTAACAAAAATGTTAAGTAATTACTGCGCTTTACTGACCGAGTTGTCTTTCCATCACTTGAGTATAATGTATAGTGGTGCTTTGATGCTGCTACTCATAATATTGCACTTTGTTTCTGTAATGTTATATGATTTTAGAAGGTATCTTGCTATTTTTGAATGTTTCTTTTCTTAAATTTTGTTAATCCGAAGACCCACAACTATTCTTCTTCTTCTTTTTTAATTCATGGCCTATTTGCATTTACACAATTCCGCCAATGTCACGTTTGTGGTCTTCTTCTTCTTCTTTTTTAATTCATGGCTTATTTGCATTAATTATGTTTGTGGTCTTATTAATATAGCTTGGTCTCTGTGACAGATGTCAACCAGTGTTGCCGCTGGTCATTTGCAGGGCTGCCGTACGCTAAAGGTGAAATTGCCGTATTTAAACAAAAATTGCCGGACATTTATTTATTTTTATGTTTTTACATTAAAAATAAAATACAAACATGAAAACATCAATCAGAAGTCTAACCTAAAAATAATTCTGTTTATAAGGATGCCACTGAATGATTCAGCACCCCAGGGGAGCGTTCCACGAAACTACAAGTTAACAATTGTAGCTTACAATTGTTAAAAAACTGGCAACACTGCAATTTTTAGCTATTATGATTGGCTTAGAATTCCAGTATTGCCAGTGAAAATATCTTGTGAACAATCAACATTAAAGAGACATGCGACTAACGTTGAACATTTACGAAAATCAAAAAATAAAAAACTTGCCAAGCCAATACATTCATTTTTCAAAAAATCTAATGTTTAAAATTGCTCCCATGAAAATTCGGTTGCTGAACTTGAATTAAAGGTTTGTTCATTTATGGCTGAGCATAACATTTCGTACCTAGCCATAGATAATTAAAGTGAAATAATAAAAAGTATTCCTGATTCGTAAATAGCACAAGATATTAAATTGAAACGAACAAAATGTACTGGAGTAATAAAAAACGTTATTGGGGAATGTCACAAAAGCGATTTACAAACTTTGATGAAATCAACCAAATTCAGTGTGCTAGTGGACGACTCTACTGATATTTCATCTGTTAAACAATGTGCATTGTCGTGCGTCTGTATGACCCTGAAACACTCAAAATTTCGAGTCTTCTATGGGAATTGCGTCCATTGTATGATAATGACAATTTTGACGCTACGAATCAAGGTGCAACTGGAGAATCAATTTATAATTCGATTATCAAAAGTTTTCTAGACCGAAATGTTCCTACTGACAATATAATAGGATACGCATCCGACGGTGCTAGTGTCATGATGGGACAGCACAATTCAGTAGCTAGTCGATTTATGTCAAACAATCCTGGCATAATCATTCTTAAATGCATTTGCCACTCGTTACATCTGTGTGCAAGTGAAGCATGCAAGAAATTGCCAAGGCGGTGTGAAGATCTAGCCCGAAACGTATATGGATTCTTTAAGCACAGCTCAAAACGTCAATCTGAATATGTTAAATTCCAGGTGTTTACTAATACTAAAGTGCACAAACTACTGCACCCCTCCCAGACACGATGGCTTTCCCTACTAGCAGTTGTCAATCGATTACTGGAACAATGAGAATCTTTAAGACTTTTTTTTACAAAGAAGTGGCTAGATGAGCGCATTATGTCTGCAGAGCACACATTCAATGACTTGAATGATCCATTCATGAAGTTATACTTTATATTCTTGCAATGGGTTCTGCCTAAGTTTGTGAACCTAAACGAATATTTCCAAAAAAGCGGCGTCGCAATAACAGAATTAGATAGAAAAATGAGAGCAACGTATCAAGAACTTCTGTTGTGTTACATGAAACGAGACTATGTCGTTACAAATGATATGAGCGCTATTGACCCGACTAAAGAAGAACATTTTCTTCGACCTGAAAGTATGTATTTTGTGGTACAAATGATGACTGAAATAGCAAACCAGAATATTCAATCAAGGCAAGACTTGATCGCAGATTTTCAAAAAAGAGCGAGAGACTTCCTGGTAACCGGGTGTTGTCAAATAAAGAATCGATTTGACTTTTCCGACGTCTTACTGCCCATAATGCTAAAGGTTCCTTGCATCATGAAAGGTAAAACAAATAAACAAAAACAGGCAATAGACGATGAATGGTGAGTACTTCCAGAAACAGATCTTCTCGAAGACTTATTCTATGATATGGACAAAATGGCAGCTGATGAGTTTTGGAGCAAGTTACTAAATTTACCGGACCTTTATTTCAAAAGTTATCAAAATTTGTTCTTGAAGTTCTCTCACTGCCACACGCAAATGCTGATTCGGAGAGGATTTTCAGTGCAGTTAATTTAATTAAAACTAAGCAAAGAAACCGCCTCATAACTTATACTATCAATTCAACACTGTTGGCAAAACAGGGCATTGTCAGGAAACATGTAAATTGTACAAGATTCAAGCCAACTGCCGATATGATTTCTAGAATAAAAAAGCCGTCTGAATATGAAAAGAATGTCTCTGAAGATGTTTTAGATGATGTGGATTTGATGGGAAGGGAAGAGTGATCAGGGCCCCGTTCCACGACGCTACAAGTTAACAATTGTAGCTTACAATTGTTAAAAAACTGGCAATACTGGAATTCTAAGCCAATCATAATAGCTAAAAATTGCAGTGTTGCCAGTCCAAAACTCATCAGCTGCCATTTTGTCCATATCATGGAATAAGTCTTCGGGAAGATCTGTTTCTGGAAGCACTCTCCATTCATCGTCTATTGCCTGTTTTTGTTCATTTGTTTTACCTTTCATGATGCAAGGAACCTTTAGCATTATGGGCAACAGAGTTGGCTCAGTGGTTCTTTGGCTATGAGATATAGCGTTTTTTGGCTATTATATTGATAACTTCTGCAGTAAGACGTCGGAAAAGTCATATCGATTCTTTATTTGACAACACCCGGTTACCAGGAAGTGTCTCGCTCTATTTTGAAAATCTGCGATCAAGTCTTGCCTTGATTGAATATTCTGGTTTGCTATTTCAGTCATCATTTGTACCCCAAAATACATACTTTCAGGTCGAAGAAAATGTTCTTCTTTAGTCGGGTCAATAGCGTTCAAATCATTTGTAACGACATAGTCTCGTTTCATGTAACACAACAGAAGTTCTTGATACGTTGCTCTCATTTTTCTATCTATTTCTTTTATTGCGACGCCGCTTTTTTGGAAATATTCGTTTAGGTTCACAAACTTAGGCAGAACCCATTGCAAGAATATAAAGTATAACTTCATGAATGGATCATTCAAGTCATTGAATGTGTGCTCTGCAGACACAATGCGCTC